AAGAAGGTAAGTAATTTAATTGTTTGTTTGATTGATTAAAAAAAAAATATAAAATATAAAAAATATCATAGGACTTATCTCTAAACGATTAATGCTTGAAGAATTTGATAGCTACAAAAGGTAAGTGATTTTAGTTATTAGTTACATTGATTGATTTAAAAAATAAATATTAAAAATTTTTTTTTCACATGACTCACTCCTGAATAATCTAATGGTTGAAAAAATCTAGGATTGTTAAGTCATGCAAGATTATAATGATACTAAAGAGTCAAGGCTGAAAAAAAAGCTGCATGTGTACTAAATTAATGAATAAAAAAAAACATCAAATTTTCAACAGTCTTATTATTTTACAAAATAGTCATATGACGTGCATTTAGAGATCGAATTGTCATATCAAAGGACAGAAAAATTTCTTGCACGTGTAGAACTTAGAGGGTGCATTTAGCCTCTAAGTCCCAAGCTTGAGACCAGAATATTGTGTGCATTTAAAGAGGGTATGCATTTATAGAGGATGCATTTAGAGAGGTCTGACTATACATATAAAATATACTAATAAAACATATATAATATAAGTAATTTTGCATATACGAATTATGTATACAATATACTTAATTTACATATTTTTATGTATCTGTAATTCTGTTTTTTTTCTTATTTTTTATATGTAATAATTATATATATATTATACATTATTTACGAATATTACAAATGTATTATTTTCGTATATAATTTCTATACAAATTTCTTATAGGGTTGTTAAGAACTTTTTTTTTATATCTATATATAATTTAAGTTTTTCATTAAGATTTTATATGATTTTTGTCTAATCTAATAATAATATTATAAATATATTTTATCAATCTAAGCTATTTCTTCAAGATTGCTTTCTATGAACTATAGATACTTACTGAAACCTTTATAAAATAATTTGTCATACCCTTTTCTATGTTTTTAATATAGTTTTAACAGTTTTAGCTTTCATCATATCAAAAGGTTTCATTGTATCTCTTATTATGATTTTAATATAATTTCATCTAAGTTTTAACTATTATTAAGAAGTTTTATCCTTATTTATACTATTAACTATTTAGATATGTTTTAATTGATAATATTTGATTTATTATTATTTTGGTTTTCCTTTTTTTTACTTTGTGTGTTTATTGATTTATTATATTTTACCTATTTTCTTCAGTATATAATTGCTTTTCTTTCTTGCATTCTATAAATAAAAATAGTATTGATTATAAGAATATTTTAAAAAAAATTATGCTTATCAGAAGGCATATCATCAAAGAGAATTATGAATTTTGTAAAATGAAGGGAAAGCATATACTGAATGAGGTTAAAAGCAAACTAGTAAAATCAATTATAGTAGATAATCACAATTTCTAAGGCTATTTTATAACTTATTTGTTTTAATAAGATCTTAAGATTTGATCATTTAAAATTATCATATAAGCTGATGTTACTAATGAGTTTATAAGTTAGAAATCAAAAGCTAAAGGATTGTTTTTGTTACTTAATATCCTTTTTTTTAGAAACCTGAATGAAAAATCCTTTTTTGGTAATGATGGTAAAAGTGGTGAAGGTAATAGTAATAATGATAGTGAAGATAATAATAGTAGTAGTAGTGAAAGTGAAAAAAATTATAGAAATGAAATAAATTATAGAAATTATAAAGCTAAAGCTTAACAATATTGCAGAAAAATAAATAATAATTATAATAATTACAAAAAAATTAATTACTTAAAGGAAGGTAAACAAATAAAATTTTAATATCAGTTGTTGATCTATATCAACCTGATGTTATTGTGAGAAAGTAACAATTTTATTCTATGTAATGACATAATCTTGTAGGAATATGATTTCATAAGCATCAGATTCTTTTTTACTATAATTTTGTGAATATTGTGATAGTATTTATTGGGAATATCCTCATAATGTATGAGATAGTAATATTCGTTTGTAATAATCTAAAGAACTAATTTAAGATGGATTCATTGGAGATTTGATTTGGATTACTATTTGTGGTGGTATTATCAGCATCTTAAGAAGTCAACTCTGAAAAAATAAAGATATTTTGTAAAGGTAAGAAGACGTTTTGGCAGTAATTTTTTCTTGCTTTAACTAATGATGCAAGATGTCTAATAATATTCCAAGTTTCTTAATTGCTTGGTATGCATGAGAGAAAAGGTGTAATTTACAATTTACAATTACGATTTGAATTTTTATATAGTTTTCATTGATAAGCATTACTAAGCAATTGTTGCACTAAGAAACAATTATTCTAAGGAAAAATGTATTTGTAACAACATGTTAAATATCTTTATTTTTTTTTATTTTAAATATTTTATAAACGATATTTTTATATACAAAATTTAATTTGAAAAACATTTAATTAATGTACTAAAGACAGTTTCATATAAACAGTTTCTAAATAAGACGCGTAACATGTTACAATTAAGATTTAAAATTAATTAATTTTTTAATTTCAATGATCGGCTTAAAAATTTTTTACACGTGCAATTTATTATTTACGAGTAGCGAATTCTTGACGAGAATTACTCGTTTGATATTATGGGTCGGAAAAAGAAAAAGAGAAACGCGAATCAAATTGGTATTCCCGCACAACGTGCAGAAAGGAAAAACTATGAAGAAGCTGAAAGAAAGAATGTAGTCTTTGAAAAATATTATAAGGTATATGATATAGAAAGATTTTTATTTTTTTTTAATATATTAAGGATAGTAATTTGAATATCATGAGAAATAACATGAACAGGATGTTTGTAGAGATAGTTACGGATTTTAATTAATTCCTCACTATTTTTTTTTTTTTTTATAATAAAAGGATCAAAATATAATTCCTGATGAAACTGAATGGAAAGAATTCATGGAAGTTAATACAACAATTCTTCCGACAGCATTCCGAATCACAGGAAGCAGAAGGTAGACAATATCTTTTAAATATATAAATTATTTCTTCAAAATTTTATTGCCAGAAACTAACCAATCATTCTTTATAGTCATGCTTTTGAATTAAGAGATTTAATGAAAAAAGAACATGTTCCAAAATTAAAGCAAATTCAACTTGAAATTGATCAAAAAGTTGAACCCATAAAGTCATTACCTTGGTAAATAATAAAGGAATTATTTGATTTTTTAAAGTGGAAAGTTATTAAAAAATTTGACCTTAAGGTATCCAGATGAACTTGGATGGCAGCATTCTGCTTCTAGAATGACGATTAAAAAAAATCCAATATTCCAAACTTTTCATAGATGGCTTGTTACAGAAACTGAAGTGGTATGTTTAAATCATCTTATTCGCTACGGAAGAAAAATTTGTAAGGTTCTCGTTTTAAATATCATTACACATAGGGAAATATAAGTCGACAAGAAACTGTTAGTATGATCCCACCTTTGTTATTAGATGTTAAACCTCATCATTGGGTTCTTGATATGTGCGCAGCTCCCGGATCAAAAACTGCTCAACTCGTCGAGGCTATTCATGCTAATGATGCACAAGAAATTGAAATTCCACGTAAGTCAAATTTGTTAAGAAACGCGTAAAACTAAACAATTTCTCAACGCACCCTTACTGATTTTATTTTAGCCGGAATTGTTATTGCGAATGATTCCGATTCTAAAAGAAGTTACATGTTGGTTCATCAAACGAAACGATTGAGAAGTCCGTGTTTATTAGTCACGAATCATGACGCTCAACATTTCCCCAATATTCACTTAAAGGAGGTAATATTGATAATAATCGATTATCTAATTGTAGCTTTTGATATTAACCTTCTTGTTGATAATAGGTTTCTTCACCTGTACAGTTTGATCGAATTTTGGTGGATGTTCCGTGTAGGTGAGTTATAATTTTTGATGCGTGTTCGAAAGTTTTGAAATTTTGTTAAAGCATTAACATTTATGTTTTTAATTCAGCGGGGATGGAACTATGAGAAAGAACTTGACAATATGGTCAAATTGGAAGATTGGAAATGCAATTGGACTTCATCCGTAAGTATAAAATTTATAATTTTCTATAAAAAATGGAACAGGTCTTGATTTTTTTATTAAAGCCTAATTACACATTTACAAGAACTCAGGTAAATATTTTACTTCGTGGAGCACAACTCGCAAAAGAAGGAGGACGTCTCGTATACTCTACATGTTCGCTCAATCCTTTAGAGAACGAAGCTGTGGTTGCAGAAGTATTACGACGGACAAAAGGAAATTTAATACTTTTAGATGTATCCGACCGCTTACCTGAATTGAGAAGAGCTCCTGGAATGACGTCGTGGAAGGTAACATATGATTTTGTGTGTATTTGTAACAAAATTTCATTGGATAAGTGATATTTAGTACTTTTTTAAACAACAATTGTAGGTAATGAATAAGGAAGGAGAATGGGTTAATTCATTGGATGATATTAATCCCAGATTTCGCAAAAAGTACTCGAAATCACTTTGGATGCCTCCAGATGTTGAAAATTTAAATTTAACGAGATGGTAATTTTAGAGATTAAGCTAATATGACAAAGTATCTTTTGAAAGAAATATTTAACTTTCTTTATTTAGTCTACGAATTTATCCTCATTTTCAAGACACTGGAGGATTCTTCATTGCTGTCTTCGAAAAAATAGGTCCAATAAAAGATATTAGTGTACTTGAAGATGCATCAATGAACGACGAAGATGATGGAAAAAATCCAATAGCTGTCAATGATATTGAAGCTATCGATATTTCAGTCGAACCTGATTCAATAACAATTGATGATGAAATAATTAACAAAGACATTGATCAAGATTTGGATAACGAACCCGTTCTTATAAAGAGACCTCCAAGCATAGATCATCCTGATGAAGAATCACATAAACGAACAAAAACGAGCGAGAGTATGCCGGTTTCTGACCCTAATGATAAAAAAGAAGATAAAAATTCAAGGAAAAAGAGGCAATCAGGGGAAGAAATTTTTATATTTTTGGAACAAAATAATGAAGACATACCTTTAATCAGGTTAGATTTAATATAATTTTCATGAATTTTCTGAAGACAGAATTATGAATAACTTGAATTTATTATTTGATCCAGAGAATTTTATGGTTTATCTGAGGATTTTCCAGTCGACCATTTACTTGTTCGATCAGAAAATGAAAAAAATAGGACATTATATCTCGTATCAAATTCGGTAAAACGAGTATTATTAGCAACGGATGTACACAAATTGAGGGTATTTTAACATTGTGATTAAGCGTTTTTTATTTCTTCTGACAACGTATTTAACAATTTTGAAATTATAGCTTGTGAACACGGGGATAAGGACATTTACACGACAAGAGACTAATGAACCTGTTAAATGTCCATTTAGATTTAATGCGGAGGGTATGTATACAATATATCCTTATTTATCCAATAAAAGGGTTATAAATTTTGGATTGAAAGAAGTTAGAATTTTGTTATCGGAACCTACTCCACTTTTTGATCGATTTGATGAAAGGATTAGAGATAAATTGATAGCATTTGGTATGTATATATGTTAATGATTGTTATTTAATTATAATAGATGAAGAATCTAATATGATATTAAATGATTTCTAGAAGGAGGATGTATTGTAGCATATACTGATCCGTCTCAAGAAAAAGAGGCAGTGTATGTTTCATAAATATAGAATATGATTGTCTTTATTCATTTGATTAAAAGATTATTATCATTATTATTATAGATTTCGTACAAAGATACCCATTGTATTACCCATCTGGAGAGCACCAAAGTCGTTAAATTTGTTATATCGAAAGGAAGATCGAAAGTAAATATATAATTTTGTCACGTAAAAGTTTATATGATGTTATATACTTTTGATATTAATTTTCTTTTATTAAATAGAGCGTTAGAATTACGAGTTCAAAGTTATTTTGAAGAACAATCAAAAGCATCGTTGGATTCAAACATCCAAATTAATCCAAATCTACCATAAAATTTTAATAATTTAAACGATTTAAAAGAAATAAAAGGATTATTTCGCAAATATAAATATAATGCAATATTAATTTTCAAGTTTCAATTGGTTTTAAATCAAAATAAATTTGAATGAAAATTTCATCATGTGACATTAATTAAATCTTCAAAGGCCAAAGTTCGCTCTTCATTTTCAATACACTTTCGTTTCAATGTTTATAGAACTACATGTTTGTCTTATTAAACATTTTAAAGATCGGATGGGCTAAAAAGGAAATATTTTTTTACAAAAGGTGGAAATTTACAATGTGTAAACCTATAGAAACAGTTCGCAATTTTTAAAAAATGTAAGAATAATAAAATTTTGCATTAAAATTTTGTTTTAATATTAAATATTTATTTCGGTGCATATTTCACTCAACCTAAAACCTTAATTTGAGTATTAACGATGTCTTTTTTTTGTGATTATTTACTTGCGGCATATCATCAAAATAAAACAAAGTCTTTATGATTGTAATAATAGAATATCGCATCATTTTTACAAATTCATCCAAGAAAACGTCTCTCAACAAAACTTCTTGATTTGGGTCAGAATATTCGATAAGTTTTGATTATATAAACAACATAAAATGAGCCAATCACTAATGACATAATAAACATATCTAGTCACGTTAATTGATTGTTACTCTTTATCTTCTTCCATAAAATCGGGGTTCTTTCGTAACAAAACGAACCCTTCAAGAACGTGAGATAAAGATATGTCTATTCAAAAAAAAAAAAGAAGAAAAAAATTGTTAAAGTATAACAAATAATTAAAATAATAATTATGAGAAAAAAATGCATAAAATCTATTATAAAAACCATATTTCACGTACATTCTTCTGTAGCCAACTCCGCACGTTCTGAATGTGCCAATAATACAGGTGTTGAATGAGTTTGAAATCCTGTAATAGTCTTTGGTCTTCCCGCTTGTCCCACTACATCAACAGCCTGTCCAACGCGAACAGTAACTGGCAAGCTATTTAAATTTTCGTCAAGTGTAATCAAGAATCTTGGATACATTGCTGTGACCAAATAATATAAGAACCAATGGTATCTACCCAGTATAAATGTTTTGATATCAGTAAAAGCAATTAGGGTCGTCAAAAGGCCAGCTATACCAATAGGAGACATTAATTGACGGTCGGAATGATATGGATTGATTGATATCGTTCCTTTACCCATATGCAGCAATCCCTAAAATTGATATCCTGTCAATAAGAAATATTAAATACTATGGTATATATGTCCTTATAATAAAATCTTTTACCTGCGAGATTCGAACCATAAATAAACAATTTGGCTCTTTATGATAATATGATGCAAGTTGCCTCAACATTTGTGCCAATCGAGCATTGTTCGTTCCTGCGCCAACAAGACCCATAGCAAATATAGCATTGATAGCAACGTCTGGATCATTATCGTGAGAATACTTACTTAATGTTTCGAGAACATTAAGAAGTGGATTAGAAGCACACAGCAATCCTAATGCTAGAGGAACTGCGCGACGAATCACTGGTTCACCATAATGCATCTGTTTTATGAATATTGTGAGTAAATATGATAGTATGATCTCAGATTCGAGGTTTAATAATTGGAGAGCTTTTGAAAACCCACCAAATGGTTAAATGACCTCAATGCCATTTCAGCCCCAACATCTTCACCCATGGCTATCAAAGCTACGCCCAATACGGCGAAAGCTTGATGTAAATCATCTTCTTTCTCTTTATCTAAATGGTCATTGCATGCATGCAACATCTTCTGAATTTTAAGTACATTTCCAGTTCCTTAATAAAAAAAAAAATTCATATTAATTATATGAAAATACGAAATGCCTTTAATCAAATTAAAATCGTACTCTACCTGCATAAGAGCAAATTTCTACCAAAACTCCGACTTGTTTACCAATAGGATGCTCAATAGCTTTCAAAGTTTCAAGAGTTGCTTCAGCAGCCTCTTGCTTTCCTATTAATGAAGATTATATTTAACCTCACTTTTAATTCATACGAATAAATAATAAATGTATAACAAAGCTTACCGAGATAAAGCAAAGCTAATCCAAGGCCCATAAACCTTCCCCAAGTTTCTTTTAACTGAGTATCTTCGCGTTCCATCATTGTTTGCAATATCGTACTTGTGATGTCTCCATCACAAGATCCTACAAATACTAGACCCAACGACAAAGCTGCGAGTGAAGCTATTTCCATATTTAAAGCAGTATCGCTAATGAAGGGGGACAATAGGTCCCGAACATCTTCTCTATGGGACCCAGAGTAAGCCATACCAAGACTAAACAATAATTGAATTAAATGCATATTTGCACGGTTTTAAAAAAATTAATTACATCTTTTCCCTTACCCAACTATAGCGCTAGTTCGCATCATCGCGTTTTTTTGATTGTGAATATGTTCTAAAAGCAACGCGAAAGCTGGATCATTTTCATTTCGAACTCCAGTATTTATAAGCCCGATGGCAAGTATAGCTCCAGCCTACAATGAAAATGAAACCATTATTGTACAAATAAAAATTAGATCCAAATAGTATATAGTATGTCGGCTTTTTATGTGCATATATAACGTACTTTAATATGGTCCTCATTGGAATACAAATATTTATCTACTTTTGATAATCCATCGACGTCCCATAACATGATCATACCGATGGAAGCGGCCGCACTCAACATTCCTACAAATCAAAAATTAAATTTGTTAAATTAACAATGACTCACTAATCGCATTATTCTGTTTAACATGTTATAGTTATTTACCATGATCTTTATTTTTATAAATCCATGTGTTACCATCCTCTATTGAAATTAATTTGTCATTTACAAATCCAGCATTAACAAAAGCATTCACAAAAGTGGATGCTAAATTTTGTCGTGCCGAATCAACACTACCACTTGCAAAACCCGGTCCTAAAGACAATTATAAAAATGTTCAATTATAAAATATATACACACACATATTAAGTAGAAGCTACTAACTGATATTTTCTAGATGACTCTTGTAAATGTCTTCTGGAGTTTTTGGCTCGAGAACATCTAACTCTTTTGCAAGGGCAATGAAATGTTTTGTTAGCAATGAATTACTCATTATTTCTTTAAGTTCTTCGTCTTCAATCTCGGGAATGTCAATTTGTTGCCTTCCCAATTGAAAAGCGATTTGTTTCTGCAAAAGCCTACAAATGATTGTCAATTATAAACAACACATTCCTTTTTAAACAAAATTGAATTGAAAATCTTATCATATTTTTATAATTCATAATTAAAGAAAACATACATATCTATATGTCCCGCTGCCTCAAAATCTTCCCTTATCAGCTTATTGTCACCAAGGCGAATAGCTAATGACACAGCTTCGGTATATTTGTCATGTTGACGATAAATTTGATGAGCTGTGCGTAAAAATTGTACATCATCCGGAGGTACTAACAAGTTAACACAACTGGTATATTTTATATAATATTCAGTAATGTAAAAAAAGCAAGTAAATTCACGTTTTAAAAATTATTAATAATTTGCATTTGTACCTAACCATATATAAGCAAACGCGCGCATATGTATCAACATCTACATATTGAGGTAATTGATCAATCATCTCCAACTCTAATAATAAGTCTACAGCATCGGCTTCGGCATTATGCTTCAAGAAAAATGGGACAATCTCCAAAGCAAGATTCATGAGATCATCCGTGCCAATCTCATTCTCTGTACGGTGAAGATATTCCTGACCGATTTCGGTTGACAAATGTCTTGATTATATATGAGAGAATTGTAAGCCTAAAGTTAAATTAAATTCGTGATAAAAAGAGTTGAATACTTACCGTACGTATTCGTGTCCCCAAGAGCCTGGATCTTCACGTGATCCCTGCAATCTATATCTCAAGGAATCTCTTTTGCCCTCATCATAAGTCATTGCCAACACTGATAAAATGTCTGCAAGAAATGACTATAAACACGAAAGAAAAGATGTATGGTTTAGAGAAAAATTACTAATATAGACGGTTTATAATTATATGATCGATCGATCACCTTGTTATCACTTGGTGGCCAACTTTCGTAAACTTCAGTTATAGTAACATAATGAGGTCTTAAAAACTTCAACGGTTTTGGAACAGAAGTCATCGAGCTGGTAGACGTACGAATCGATGTTCGAAGGCTTTCCAATGCTGATCTATGAAGACTAGCATCTCCTTCCTATACCAATTAATTGTTCATTATCTTTTTAATAATTGCTCTTAATTGATCAAAGTTAAATTGGTTACAATTGATTTATGTACTCACTTTTAACCTTTCTACCAACATTTCTAATTCATTCTTTAGTTGGAGATCTTCTTCTGACTGTAAACATGTAATAAAGTTATCAATGCATGTTTAACGTTCTATCAAAGTATTTCGGGAGAAGGTGCGTATCGAACTTAGAGAACGAGAATTTCGAGTTTCCAGTCATAATTATAACTTAAATAAGCCCATCAATGTGGTGTAAAACTACAATGACGCCTAGGACATCCGTCGTTCAATTAAACCTACCAATTCTTCGACTTCGTCTTTTTTTTCTTTATCTTCATTAGTTTTAGCTTTACTTTCCTCCTTGGCCTTTTGTTTATCCTTATTTGAAATCTCTTCAGCTGGGGGAGCATTTTTCACAGTATCTCGAGCCATATCTAACAAGTGATCAAACAAAAATTTTTAAATTTTTTTTTTTGTAATTACGATAGTTAAAATACACACGTAAGCTTATCGGTACTACCGACTGATCGACGCACATTTTATACGTTTTTGAATATAAGATCTAATTCGAAAATTTTTATTCTTCCCTTTCGCCCGTTGGCTCAATTAATAAAAAAAGTAGCTAACAATGGTACGTTTTCACAAAAACAGTACTTTATAAATTTTCATTTAGATGTTTCATCGTTAATTTTATCAGATTCATCAAAAGCAAAGATTTTTTTTTTTTTTTTTTTTTATAAGAATTTAAATATTAAAAAAAAAAAATTTTTTTTTGTTATAAATTGATACCATCCATCTTGTCTGATTAAGTAAAACAAGAAATAATGAATTTGGTTGGATGAATCTATTTAGATACCATAAGAATTGATCAATTTATATAGTTCTTCGCATTTGTCAAGAATACCAAATCAAAAAAAATTTTTTTTTTGATATCCATATTTGATCTATGTATAAAACTCATTATATTTTAATTGGATTTATCTTTGAATGATAGGCTCGTGGACCAAGGAAACATTTAAAACGACTCAATGCTCCAAGACATTGGATGTTGGATAAACTCACGGGGACTTATGTATGTATCATTATCTTTTGTATCATTCTTCCAATTCTTTCTTATGTAGAAAGTGATCTTTATAAAGTTTTTATTGAAAGCATGGTAAACTAAATTTATCTAAATTCAACAATCAATTGTGGTTGATCGAGTAGGCGCCAAGGCCATCTCCTGGTCCTCATAAGCTCCGTGAGTGTCTACCTCTTGTTGTATTTTTGAGAAATCGCCTTAAATATGCCCTTACCAAAAAAGAAGTCCAAAGTATTCTGATGCAACGTTTTGTGAAGGTTGATGGAAAAGTTCGAACTGATACAACGTACCCTGCCGGTTTTATGGGTAAGATTTTTTTTTTTTTAAAAAAATAATTTTAAAGACTTTTTTATTCCTTTTTTTAAATAATAATAATAATAATAATAATATTATTATTATTATTAATAACATATTTAATATTTAGATGTTATCTCCATCGAAAAAAATGGTGAAAATTTTAGATTAATTTATGACACAAAGGGTCGATTCACTATTCATAGAATTACTGCGGATGAAGCTAGATATAAATTAGCTAAAGTTAAAAAGGTTCAAGTGGGTGCAAAGGGAATACCATTCATTGTGACTCATGATGGACGCACCATTCGTTATCCCGATCCTTTAATCAAAGTTAACGATACAGTTAAATTAGATTTGGAGAGTAATAAAATCACCGAATTTATTAAATTTGAAGTCGGACATGTGGCCATGATAACAGGTGGTAGAAACATGGGAAGAGTTGGAGTCATTAAGCATAGGTTCGTTTTACTGAAAATTAATTTTTCTTTTTTAGTGAATTATTTTTTAAGACATTTTTAATTCCTTACAAATGGTTTATAGGGAACGGCACGTAGGTGGTTTTGATATTGTACACGTTAAAGACGTTCTTGAGAGACAATTCGCTACTCGTCTTACAAACGTTTTTGTTATTGGCGAGGGTAATAAACCTTGGATTTCATTACCAAAAGGCAAGGGTGTTAAAGTAAGTATAAAGTATCATTTCATTTATTTCATTTATGAAAATTTTTATCCGAGGTAATTAAACTATCATTTTTATTTTTTAATTACTTACTATTTTAAATTTTAAAGCTCACTATTGCCGAAGAACGTGATAGGTATGTACTACTTGTTACTATCTTATTTTAAGTATCATTTAATATACTAATAAATATATTATCTAACTTAATAGGCGTCGTGCTCAAGCATCGCAATAATAAAGAATTGAAAAATGGGCATAATGATGTATTTCTTTAAAAACCAAGTTAAATTCCGCAAAAAAACTTTTATCTATATAATTTTTTTTTTTAATAAATAAAAAGTTGAAAATGTGACAAATAGGATTTGATCAATTTTATTAGTTACAATATTTTTTTTTTTTTTTTTTTTTGATATATTATATAAATTACTTATAAAAAGTCCTCAAATATTTATTTTTCTAAATTTCCCAAAATGCGTGAAATAAAAAAATGTAAATAGCAATTTACAGGAAAAAAAGTTTATTATGTTACAATTTATAAAAAGAGAAAATGCCAAGGGTTAAAAGTTCTTAATGGGCATGAAGTTCTTATAAGATTTGTAAATTAAAATTATTCTAAAAAAAGAACCTTTGAAGAAATTAATCATCAAATAATTTGTACACTATATAAATCTAATTGTTAGTCTTCTTCTTCATCATCTGATGACATATAATCCATATCTTCATCATCGATATCATCATCTTCGTCAGATGCATACCAGAAATTTTCATCTTGATCATCGTCGGTTTGTTTCTTCTGAACAATGAAGTCATCGGCTGCAGACAAAACAGGAACGTTAAATTACACGTAAAAAAAAAAGAGAAAATATATCAATTAAATAACTTACTGCTTGTTGGTATTTTCAAACCTTCCGGAATATCCTTTTTCGATGCCTCGACTTGAGCTATTTCAAAAAACTTTGGTAAATAAAAGTGATGAAAAATCATATATACACAAAATGTTCTCGAACACTCACCATGAACAATACCATTATAAGAATCACGATCTGTACGGTACATAACCTAGAGAGATCCAGATTCGAATTGTGAATAACACGATTCCTACTTTGTGAAAGATCTGAATATAACAAATATACATACCCCAGCATCCTAAGAAACAGAACGCGTATTTATTAGTTAACGTTAAGTTATATTAATGGTTTTATTTAATAAATAAATACTTACCACATTAGCTGGACTTGAGCAATTAGGATCCCCCATAAGGCTAACGATGCTGATTAGAATACCTATTATACCAATAGAAATGTTAGCCATGGCTCACGCTCGAAAATATAAAATTAAACCTAAATTTGGCATACTTTCAACGCTTTGAGTGGGATTCCAACGTTCCTAAAGGCATAAAAAGAGCACTTATTTAGTTTTACATTCATATCATTAGACATCTTATATGTAACTTACAGCTGCAGTTTCTCCACTGGTTGGATCATCAACTGGTGGGTGAAGAATAGATATGCAAAGTCTTCCGTCTGAATAAACTAAAATTTATGCAATCAAAGAATTAACAAAGAATATCAAGGTTTATTATAATTAGATTAATCAATTCATACCATTGGGATGGAAAAACTCATTATTGAATTTAAACGTCGGTGGGTTAAATGGATAATCATCTGGAAATTTGAGAGTTGCCTTAAATAAAATAGTATCAGTTTTGCAATCGCTTCTTTACTTGAAACTTAATATGGTAGCTTATATATAAATACCTTAAAGTAACCGCCCTCGTAAATAGTTTTAGGTGCACCGATAATACCTACGTCCCTGTAAATCAAAATAATTAAGAATAAAGAAACTTATATATTTAAGAAACGGATTAGAAAATTGAATGAACTAAAGTAAGCTACCATTCAAAAACATCGTCATCCTGCAAAGCGACTGTAAACCCTGGTACAGGATTACTTGTAAGTTCTGCTCATTAAAAATGATATTTATTAGAAATGATAAAATATTTGTCGATTCCAGTTTATATAGATGAGGGAAGAAACACGCACCTTTAAACTGTTTCAATAAGATGTTGGCGGCACTAGACATTGTCATTGGCTGGTTTCAAGTTAAAAAAGCAAAGAAGAGTGTAAGGTCTTTCAAAAAATTCCAAGTTATTTTAGATTTTTGTTTTTAATATAATTCTTCACAAGAGTATAAAGAAAAAAAAGAAAATAATTTAAATATGTCCCGAACAATTTAAGAAACAAATCGCTTTTTGATAAGAAATGAAAGGTCTGCAACACGTGACAATTTATGTAACACCAAGTTTTTATGGTCTATTTATAGAGAAGTCTGAATATATGTAGAAGATTGATGAAAAAAAGTGATAACAATGAATAAATAGTAAATTAGTAATGGTACCCAATAATAACATCGCTTTATTCAATTGGCTATTATAAAACTGATGCTAGTTCCTAAATTTTCCTTTATATAATAATTTTATAAGTAAAATTCATTAAATAAGATTGTTTTTAATATAACATAAAATTTTATTTAATATATTACTACTCAATTATAAAAATAATTAAGTTTAATATTACTAAATAAAAATATTTATTTAAAATAAATTTCTTTAAATTATCTAATAATAATAAATAAATTTAAACCATTTAAGCTAATATAACATTATTAATTTATACTAAATTAATTAGATTATACTGTAACCATACCAATAAAATCTATTCTAAATTGTAAAATAATTATATTAAGTGTATTTTTATAATCCTATTATTGTAGTATAATTTAAATATGACTTCATAATCTTTGTTATTATAAACTAGTTGTTATTTATAATCTGATTTATAAATAATATATAATAATATAGTTTACTTATAATGATATAATTTAATTATCAGTTTGTTTTAGATTTCTTCTATAAATTTCTCTTTATTAATTTTAATTTTGATATAGTTACAGTAGCGGTCATAAGTATCTGACCGCCTCTAATTCTAGTTACAAGTAAGTGAATTCAAAATTTTTTTTTTATTTAAAAAATACATAACCAACTAATTAAAATTAATATATTACATAGTCACTATCTGACTCTATAAATGTAGCTATATGCCTTTTTATACTAGCTACTAAATTCGTAACAAGTACAGGTGATAATCAATTCCATTCTTTTATAAATTTTCCCTTTAACCTTCTAATTGATTGAATTTTTTTTTTATATATTAATTTTTATTAACCTCCAAATGTTTTCTATAGGATTTTGGTCTGAAAACATTGATGGCTAAAAAAGTACCTTAATGCCATTTTCTTCCTTCCATTTTTTTACAATTTTTAATTGATGCTTTAGATCATTATCTTCTTGCAAGATCTAATCTATGTTATCTTCACCAAAAAATTTAAAGGTGAAAGTTAGAAGATCCTGCTCATAAATAGTACACATAAATTCAGTATTAAGGTTCCTCTGAAAGCAAAATAGCTTACCAAATCCAGAAGCAGAAA